TTCGTTGGCTGATAATCTTAACTTCAGCACACAAGGGGATTCACAAGAGGAAGATGGAAAATGAACAGTCTTTCTGTGGATGTCCAGTTTGTTCCTTAATGTGCAGGAACTGATAAGATTGTGTGACTAGGTGTGTGTTTCCATCAGAACCTTTGTGTCATATCTGAAATCTGTGGGGCTTTCCAGACATTTTCCTGGTGGAACAGCTGCCTCAGAGCTACAGAATCCAAAGCAGAAAGGGGTTCTATGCAAAGTGGACCATGAAGCTCAGCATTTCATCAAAAGGTCTCTCCACTTGGTTTCCTCTCTGGTCCACCCACCCATCTGAAGATTTCCTGAAACTGGATGTAACAACTGGTTGTGACTCCTCAAGACTTGTAGTTCCTTGCTGAAATGTGCATTTAGCAACTTTGGAGAGACCTTATCATGTTCCTCCAGACGACCCAGGCTGCTCCTATCTATTGGATGTTCAGCAACAGTTAGGTTGCCATCAGCTGCTGCATCACCCTTTTTCCTGCCCCATTGTCAGGCTTAGCAGACAGGCCAAGACCATGATGAGTCACCAAGATCTGGTGAGTCCTATAGAAGTTATTTCTCCAGGTCTTTTCCCTGTTTCTACACAAGTACTACTGTACTACATAAGTACTCATTACAGACCTGTGCTGGATGGCTTTCTTGTAGCTTCATTTAGGGAGAAGAAACAGATACAGTCTCTGTGTGATTCTGTCTCTCTCATAATATGAAAATTGTTCTCCTAGGGATATCTCCTAATTCCTCATGGGAGCCTGAAGCAGGCTGGCAGCTGTTTTCTTTTGCCAGTGGAAGTCTCCATCTTCAGACAGTAGACTTTCTGATTCTGTACATAAAATCGGGTGCTATCATGCTCTGTGCACCAACTGGACCCTTCCTTGGAGGTGCACCTCCTGCAGTTCTGGCCATCACGAGCACACTATCTTCAAAGGTCTTGATCCCCTAGGAGCAGAGCCCTCCATGAAAAGCAGATGAAAGCCTTGTGAGTGGCTCTGCTCAGACTTGCCTTGCCCTTCATGGAGCAAACACAGGATTACGAAACCAGTGAGTCTCATGAAAGCTGTGTTCAAGCTGGGAGAAGGCAGCATGTGACAGCCCCAGGTTTCTGCTCCATGCTTCCCACTGGCACTGCAGTCTGCATGCAGTTTGTCACACATGTGAATGTACTGTGTGACCTCCACATGCTCCTGGACAGTCCTAGATGCTCCCTTTTCCCTCTGTGGCTGAGCCAGCATTGGTTTTGTTCACTAAGTGGTGAACTTCAAATCTTCTTTGCCTGACTGGGCTAGAATAAGTCTCCAAATGCTGCTCTCACCAGGCTGATGGGGAAAGCCTGGAAATAGTGGTTGAGACTCATGCTTACCTTATTGGGTGATGTGATGTGGCAACTTAGGACTTCTTGTGGTGCCGGAAGGGCTGTTTTGAAAGCTGAGTGATGCTGCTCACCCACTCAGAAATGATCCCTGAACATCATGTTCAGGCTGGAAATAACCCACAAATTTACTTAGGAAGAGTGAAAACATGATTGCTAAAAACACCAAAACCAATAGCAAACCCAAACCAAAACAGTGTTTAATCTGTGTCAGGTTATACTGGAAAAGAGTAGCCAAATGCTGCTGTTTATTGCTGAGTCAGCTTGGGTGTCTGCAGGGGTTTCTAAGCTCACAGCACCAGGGGAATGCTTTGGGGTCATCCCCATGAGGTCTGAGCTCAGGTCTTCATGGGTAGTAGACCCTCAATGAACCAGGATTGCAGATGGGCAGGAGATAGTGTGGGACCAGCTAACTGTTGGAAAGGGTGAAGCTGCACCAGGGTCTACCTGGGATAGGACTACTACTTCTTCTGGTCACCATTACAGAAGTAACCAACACTTGAGCTGGGGCAGAGATGTTCCTGTGGTGTTGTGCATGTGGAGGAGGCTCCTCAGCCTCTGCTCATGGACTATCATGGTCCTGTGGAGCAAAGCTGTGGGTATCTGCAGCCTTGGTTTGAGTCATTCAGTTCACATTAAGCCATCTGTATGTTATTAATGGGTGGCTTCTCTGGTGGCTTTGAGAAGATTTTGGGGAACACTTTGAGTTTGGCATATAGCACCCATTCCTCTTGTTTTGCACAGGATAAAACACTTTCTTGCAGAATTAAATAAGGACTAGGTGGACAACAAGCCCCTCTCATAGAATCTTTAAGGTTGGAAAAGACCTCAAAAATCATCAAGTCCAACCATCAACCCAACACCACCATGTCAAATTAACCATGTCCTGAAGGGTCACGTCTACATGTTTTTTGAACACCTCCAGGGATGGTGACTCTCATAGCAGAGTGATCTGAAATAATGGAATCATCTTCCCTTCTTCAAAAAAAAAGACAAAAATAGTCAGCCTTCAAAAAATATAAATAACCTCCCCCAGACTGTTACTCAGTGGGCCTAACATGACCTCAGTGACTACCTGCTGGTTTGGTGAAGCATTTGAAAATGAATTGTTGCTCAAAACCCAGCCTGATTTTACTCCCTGATTAAGCTACTTATGCTTAGAAATTTGAAACAAGCTGGAGTGTTCTCTAGGATCTGTAAGAAACAACTTGATCTTTTTGTCTATGAGACAAGGGATTAAGTGGTGGCAAAAAAACCCAACCCTTTTAGATCTTTCCTGTCCTCTTGGTGCTCTGGGGTGAGTGCTGGCTGGCTGCTGCTTTGGGTTGGTTTTTTTCCTGCCTCAATTGCCTTCCTTGGGAGGGGCCAGGAGTTTAGATTCCAGCCTTTTGACCTCTCTGCATGCCTAGAGCTCTCCTCTGGGATGTATCACCAATGTTCCTGCCAAAAATAGCCTTATGGTCATGCAGACCTTGATGTATGAAAATGTGCAAACTACTGAGCTTATGGATTTTTTTAATGCTTCCCATTTTTCATGCAAATGATATTTAAGTAATTAGTAACTACTGTTACTACGGAGAAACCACGGTCATACATCTGGGCAGTGAGTTGTGTCTGGATCCAAACAACCACTTAAGCCAGCTAACCATTCAAACTGCAAAACATCCTTTGTTCTATGACCCCATTTCTTCCCGGCCTCCAGGACGCCCTGGAAAGGGAGATCCAAAGCTGAGTTCTGTGACTTTAGGGAATTCAGACTCTTATTTAGCAGGGAATCCACCCACGTATGAAGCTTAAAAAGTAGACTTTCCCACCTAACTTAGTGACTCCACCTGGGTGACATTTTAATAGGCCATGCTGAGATGCTCAAGGTATTTCTTCCCATTAGAGTACGAAGTCAGGTCAAGTTTTTATGTCAGACTTCCTGACATATCAACACAAGGAGAATGACTCTCATCTATTGTTTGTAGTAATCAGGGTAGAGGTTCAGGATGTCTTTGAGTATGCTGGCAGCAGATAGCTCTTCCTGGAAACAGAGCAAAGACTCTAGTCACTTCTCCATTAGTAAATAAATAATGTTGAGCCCCATAGGCAAGTAGTTATGGCATAACCTATATATAGCTAAATCTCACTACCTCCCAGAACAGGTCTACTATGGGCAGGCTTCCCATTTCATATGGTCCCTGGGCCATTTGAACTGTCTGGGAGAGGCACTAGTTGTCACATATCAGAACTGTGCCAAAGTCTCTGCCACCAATTTAGCAATGTGAAGCTTTGCAGCAGGTGCCATCTCATTTGCTGACTCCTGTGTACGTAGCCTCTGAGTGTGCACTACAGCAAGCTAAGGGTAAATGTGGACATCCCATATTTAGTCCCTTGAATTTGCTAGTTTGCTTCACAAAGTTAAAAGAATCTGAGTTTAGTATTTTTATCACCATTAGTAATATCAGCTGATTCTGTCCATAGTGTCTTTACCACGTGGCCTTTTTCTAGTGCAGTCTCATTGGGGCCATTCAGCCTGGAGAAGAGAAGACTTCATGGAGACCTTAGAGCACCTTCCAGTGCCTGAAGGGATCCTGTGGGAAAGCTGGGGAGGGGCTGTTTACCAGGGTAATGGTTTTAAACGGAAAGAGGGGAGATTTAGGTCAGACATCTAGAAGAAAATCTTTCCTGTGAGGGTGGTGAGACACTGGAACAGGTGACCCAGGGATATTGTGGATACTCAATCCTTGGAAATGTTCAAGGGCAGTTTGTAAAGGGCTTGGAGCAACATGGTCTAGTGGGAGGTGTCCCTGCCCATGCAGGAGCTTGGAGCTGGGTGATCTTGAAGGTCCTTTCCAACCCAAACTCTTCTATGATTCTATGATTAACAGACTGTGTTCACTTCCTCTGATTCGTGTCTTTCTGGAGGCAAGGCTGGAAAGGAGGAAGCTCACGTGGGTTTCATGCCCTTTTTTTTTTTTTTTTTTTAAAAAAAAAAAAAAGTGCTACCACTTCCATTTTAGGTAAACTTTCCTTGTTGACTCAGTGTGTGACATGCCCAGCAGTGCAGTGTCCTGCTCAGAAAGGCGTGACACCAGACGTCTGTTCCTCTGGAAGGCTGGAGGTCTGGGCATGGCTGGTGCAGGTCTGCAGCTCCAAACAATAGCTTTTCAGGCCAAAAGGTGCAGACTGAGGCACTCGGGCAGAAAACTGGTGAGAGCTATGAGAAAAGATACTCTGTTTCATCCTTTGCTGCTTTGGACCTCAGGGATTTTCTTCTGGGAGAATGAAACTGGCACTAAGTAGGATTAACACATGATGAGAAGTGTAGAGCCTTTCTAGTCACATAGAAGAGGTATTGTGGCCCACCTGAGATGATCCTGAATTGGGTTATGAGGAAAATGGGCTGTAGCCTCAGTGGTCTTTTGAAACACCAGCTGATGTTGAGCTACTTCGTTTCCATTTCCCCTTCTAATTTTTCAAATGCTTTTTGAGGAGAACCATTCCATCTCTCAAGAGCAGGAAAGGCTGGTAGCTGTCAGTGAGCACTGAAGCCTTGGAAGATGGATACTCTTGCAAAAGAGCTTATGTGTCCCTTCTGTGTTGTGTCCAGGACATGTGCACAGCTGAAGCAACTGCCTCTCTGCTCCAGGTGGAAGAAACCTTCTCATCATGCCTGGCACGGATAGATGCCCTCATCCTCAAGCCTCTGCTCCAGGCAGGTAGGTCAAAGCAGATTTTTGTTGTTGTTGTCACTAGTTCTAGCCTTGAGTCACAGACACACCTAAGAAGGGAATTATAATTTAAACTCCATAGCTGGGGACTTTTCTGGGGGTTGATTTACAGAGTTCTTTCATTTAAGAGAGTGAGCTCTCAAGGATCCCTATGGCCAAGCTTAGGATTGTGGTTCCTGTCTCTTTCAGACATTAAGGGAGATTTAGGTTAGATGTTAGGAAGAAGTTCTTTAGTGTGAGGGTGGTGAGACCCTGGCCCAGGTTGCCCAGGGAAGCTGTGGCTGCCCCATCCCTGGCAGTGTTGAAGGGCAGGTTGGATGGGGCTTGGAGCAGCCTGGGCTGCTGGGAGGTGTCCCTGCCCATGCATGGAGGTTGGAACTGGGTGATCTTTCAGGTTCCTTCCGACCCAAACCATTCTATGAGTCTAACTAGTGTCAGTCCATATACTCACTTGAAGGCTTGTTTCCAGCATTCTGTGCAGAAATCCAAAATCCATCTTGTGTATATGCAACCCCTGAACTGTACTCACCCTGCCTTCCTCCTCTTGCTCCAAGGTCGTGTCTGTCTTTGAAGGTAAAACTTGTGGGTGCAGGTTCTGAGCTGGCAGTAAATCAGAGTGGCTGCACTGAAACAACAAATTCATATAAATATTCACAAGTCTGTCTGGTCAAAAAGTGGTATGACTGGATTAGGCCCCTAGGGTGGATCCTTCTCATGTCACTGGAGTTCTGGTCTAGCCTCCAAGAAGACCAGGAGCAGCCCTTTGGGCCAGGGACAGACGGTTTTCCTCATGTGCTCTTGTCTGAGCCCTGCAGGCTGCCCTGACCACACGCCCCACCAGAATGGGAAGCACAAAGACTGTGCAATCACCTTGCAGGGACATAAACCTAAATAGTCATCATCTTCTTCCTCCCTGGCATCATTTTCCTGGAAGCAAATACGTTCTTTGCACTGAAAACCACAGGGTTTCTTGGAGTAATGAGTTTCTGATATCCTTTCCCCCTCTTCTTTTCCTCAAAGAGCCTAGTGACCAAAAGGGAAAGGAGAACTTTAAGCTCTTCCTGCTCCTGAATGATCGATTTCAAGCTCTCTGGAACCTCACAGAAGAAAATTACAGGATACTGAAACAAAAGTGCAGCACCTCAGAGTCATTCTGCATCCAGGACATTTACATAGTCTGGAAAGGAGATCTATTTCTAAGCCTCTACATCCAGTAAGTACAGGAAGCACTTCAGAGTAGCATAAGGAACCAAATTTATCAACTAACTGGTAGGTTGGAACAATTAATCTGTGTACTTGATTTGTTTAGTCCTGCCCACTGGAATTCAGCTGTGAGACAGGGGAAGTGATTGCATTCAGTGCTCAGGGCAGATGTTACAGAACACAGGGGCTGCTGTGCAGACAGCATAACAAATGTGGTCAAACATGACCTTTTTTTGTAGCTGTGAGTATCCTTGTAAGAAGCATATTTGGTTTTTTTTCTTGCAAGTTTAGGGGTTTTTATGCATCTTAAAAATAAGAAAAGGACAAGGGGAGAATTTGTGCCTGGGGAAGTTATGAGAGCAAAGCTCTGGCTGCCATCAGGAACAGAAATGCATGCACAAGCAGGTTTAAAGGACTTAAGGATGAAGAAAGGACCATGTCACCAGACAGATCATATTATGTGTTTCTGCCACATTCTTATGCTTTTGGCAAGGGGTGTCATAGCAAGTGATAGATGTAGCATGATGTGAATAAAATACTGCCCTACTGCTGTTTCAATAATTAAATGACTGGTCCCCATCTGTTTACCAAAGTCACTGTATAACCCACGTCCTAGCATGAAAAGTGGTGAATAGAAACCTGAGATGACATGAGGATCAGACACTGTTCAATCTTTCTTTCAACACATTGGCCACAAACGTGGCCAAGCCCTTGCCAGGTGAGCTTGTTTTACCTGTGCAGTTTGGCACCTAGGCAGGAATGGGCAATGGGCACCCTGGCTCCTGGACATTGCTGTTCATCTTGTCTTGGTTTTGATGGTTTTTATGCATGTGGAGGGAGGAGAGAGGAAGGACAACATGTAATTTAATTTTAACCTGAACAGCAGCAATTTAGAAAAGTGATACACAACAAGCTTTGCCTTCGTGTGAGTGAGGTTTGGAGTAGAGCACGTTGGGGTTTTTGGGAAGTGATTCAGTAAATTAAAACCTGTTCTTGTTGGGTGTCAGGCAAAAAATCAAGAGCTGGTTCCTACCCACTGCTGCTGACTCACTGTGAAGTCCTGGTCCTACACCTCCTCATGTTTATTGCAGTGATACAGGAGGCAGTCAGGTCCCTGTTCAGAGGCCTGCAAATCAGCATTAGATGTCCCTGAAAGCTGTAATAAATGTGAATTAGTGTGGATGGAATACTTGACTTAACTGAAATCACTGTTGGAAGAAAATATGGTATTTGCTGACAAAATATGGCTTGATCTCCCTCTAGTGTGAGATGAGATACATGAACTTGGGGCACCTTGACTTGAATTTACCATTTGCAGTACAAACCTGTTACATCTACTCTAACCAGCAGACATCCTTACATCTGAAGCTGAAATCTTAAGCTCAGCCTTTGTAGATTTGCTTTCCAGGACTGTTGTGCAAGTTTACTTCTGCTTATGCTAAATGCCAGGATGATTAAACTTCCTTGAAACTAGTGCAAAAGTCAACCAGGCAGTTAAACCAAGGAGCTGGTCTAGGGCACAAAGGGGAGTGACCAGGGTGAGAGGTAAAATAGCTACATCTCTCTCTGCCTCCCTTGGAAAGGTGGATTTGATGTGACATTTTCACATCTAGATTTAGGCTAGACAGTAGGAAAAAATTATCCACGTGTGAGAGTCCAACAGAGGCTACAAGGATGATTAAGGGACTGAAACATCTGTCTGGTGAGGAAAGGTTGAGAGACCTGGGACTGTTTAGTGTAGAGAAGAGAAGGCTGAGGGGGGATTTTATTAATATTTATAAATATCTGAAGGGTGGGTGTCAAGAAGGGGCCAGTCTCTTATCAGTCATTCACTGTGATAGGACAAGTGGCAATGGACATAAGCTGAAGCACAGCAAGTGACATCTCAACATGAGAAAACTTCTTTACTGTGAGGTGATGGAGCACAAGGACAGGCTGCCCAGAGAGGTTGTGGAGTCTCCTACTCTGGATACTTTGAAGAACCATCTGGGTGTGTTTCTGTGTGACCTGCCCTAGGTGATCCTGCTATGGCAGGAGTGTTGGACTGGATTATCTCCATAGGTCCCTTCCAACCCTGACCACTTAAACCTTGTAGCCAATATGCATCTTTGACTCAGCTCATGCTTATATGTTGTTGTTTCTGCTTTCTTGCCAACAGATACTTTGTCACTTTTGCAAACTACGTTGTAGTCCATGGCTTTGAACATGCCACAAAGAGCAAAAGGTCAGTGGGGCTGAGAAATGTTTGTTAACAGGATTGACAGGGACACAGTGATACTGTTTGGGTTATAATGTCTAACCAGAGTGAGCAGCACTAAGCATGGGGATCTGTGCTGGGGTCCAGCTGCATCTCCTCTGAACTGGCTGCTCCTGCTGTCTTCTGAGCCCACAGCTGTTGAAAGGTTTCCTCTACAGATCATCCTCCATCTCCTTCTAGCTATGAACAACTCCTTTTGTAGGACAGAAAGCCTATCAGTCTGGTGTTTGGGGTTCAGGTAAGGAGTGGGACCTCAGAAAGGATGCTGTGGGAATCCAGCAGGAAATTTCCACTGCTTGTCTCAGATGATGTCAGAGTCTTGTGGAATTAGCAAATGAAGGCATGAGCACTAGACAGAAGCAGATTTGCAGCCCCTTCATCTGAATCACCCTCTTGATGTGCAACCCATCATGAAAATCATGTGATTTTCTGTATCTCTGGGTGTGGTTCCTATTTTGCAAAGACCACTGGGCCAGAGGCAGGGTGGATGGATGGATGGAGCTCTTGTTTCCCTCATTGCCTTATTTCTGTGTGTTTGGTGTGCAAATCTATTTGCACTATGTACATGGACCTGTTGGAGATGGGCCAGAGAAGGGCCACAAAGATAATCAAAGGGCTGGAGCACCCCTGCTATGAAGACAGGCTGAAAAAGTTGGGTCTGTTCAGCCTGGACAAGAGAAGGATTAAGGGAGACCTTATAGTGGCCTTCCAATACATAAATGGGGCCTACAGGGAAGCTGGGGAGGGGCTTTTCATCAGAGATGGCAGTGATAGGGCAAGGGATAATGGTTTTAAACTGAAAGAGGAGAGATTTAGGTTAGACATCAAGAAGAAATTCTTCACCATGAGGGTAGGAAGGTGCTGGAATAGGTTGCTCAGGGATGTTGTGGAAGCCCCATCCCTGGAGGTGTTCAAGGCCAGGTTGGATGAGCCTTGTGCAGCCTGGTCTGGTGGGAGGTGTCCCTGCTCATAGCAGGGAGGTTGGAACCTTTAGGTCTCTTCCAACCCAAACCATTCTATGACCTCTTCTTTCAAGGCTTTCTGTACCCTTTCTGGGAGTGAGGTAGCATATAAAGTTTGGAAGGCAGAAAATTGGCAATTTGCAGAAAAACTAATTGATGAACCTTTGTCTTAATTCACCATCTTGCAGTGAAGCCTGGAAGCACCATAAGACTGTGCTGAAACAATTCCTCACAGATTTCACCTCTGAGACCTCCATGTCACTGGCCTTATACACTGTTCTTCACAAACCCATTCGGGACCATATTGAGCAATATCTACTGCTCCTTACCAAGCTGAAGGAGGTTCTGAAAGAGGTAGGAAGTTTTATGTGATGTCACTTGACTGGCTTATACTAAATCTTATGCAGGGCTTTGTGGTGGTGTCATTGAATCCAAAGATGGCTGGAAGTAAATAACTTCCAGTGGACCACTAGGGTTGTAGGAACCAGCACCAGTGTGGCTTGGCCCACCTGAAGGTCTCAAAGCAATGAGCAGTGGCCTCTCCAGCATGCTACAAGCTACTCAGCACATAGAGGAACTGCAAAAGGTCATGCAACTGGCCTGAGGTTGCACACTTCTGCTGGTGGCAGGGGTAATGCTAGATTAGGGAGGATTTCCTTGGAAATGGGGTTGGAAGGTTAGCTCAGTCAGCCCCTTGGATTCAGAACTGCTGAGGCTCTTCTGCAGCTGCAGGCCAGAGAGTAGTTGTCCTCTATAGCTATGCCTAAAACTTTGCTCAAGCCTTGCTTTTTTGTTATCAGGGCTCTGACAAGGACGTTGTTTCCAGTGCCATCCAGGAATATGGGAAGCTGGAGTCTTTCATCAGCCAAGTCCTGGATGAAGCTTGTTTTACCAAGTCCTTATGGAAATCCCTGGGCTACAAATTCACAGTGAGTCACAGATGTAGGAAGTGGCTTGTCGGGGGGCTCTTCTGGAGGTCTTACACTTCTGCTTACACATGGAGGAAATTTAATACTGATCAAGCATTTGAGGCTTGGTTTGGAAGCCAACAGAGCATGGCAGTGTGAAAGCCCTGGAGAAACCACATGGACACTGGGTGCTTTAGAAGCTGTGTCCAGTCCTGCTGTCACTGTCAGCTTGTGGCACCAGTTAGTCTCTGCAGGAAGCCTTGGCTTCTGTTCTATGTCCTCTCCCAGACCCTACTGTTTCCTCATGATCTTGACCCATCCTCTTGACCTCTGTGGTTCCCTCTGCAGGACATGCTCTGTGTACCTGAAAGGAGGCTGCTGGAAGACAGCAAAAACCTTCCCATCTCTGCCAGCACGAGTCGATCAGATCGGGTCTTGCTCTTCGATGATGTCCTTGTGCTAATCCAGGTGAGTTTGCAACCTTTCAGAGGGATTGGAAAGGCAGCACGGATAAGTGACAATAAAATTCAGGTTCCCTTGATGTTGAAAATGCAGCAGAGCTTGGCTGTTGGCAAAACCTTGTCTCCAATCCATGCACCTGTGTTTTGCACTGCAGAATAACGAAAGCATAATGAAGAAGGAACAGAAGAGCACCCATGTTACTTTTTCCCTAGTAAATATCTACTATCCAGCCACCACAGGCACTTTTCTAGTATCCCAAGGCCATGATTGCATATGAATCTGTTGATTGCTGTCCTTGTTTATTCAAAGAGTACCTGATAAGTCAGAGATATTATACTGTAAACACATGCATGAGACTAAATATGATCTTTCAGGTTTAACTCTGCTAGTGGTATGGGAGAAGCTGAGGGTGTTGTAGGGGTTATTTCAGGGATTTAGGGCCTGAGTCTAGGGCAGACAGGGAGTGCCTACAGCCATAGGATGCCTAGATGAATAATATGTGTTTAAAGCTCTTCTGCAGCATGTTAACTAAGTCCAGCTTTGCTTGCTCTGACTGACAGCTCCTGTAATCCAGCATGGCTCTCCTCACCTGCACCTCTCTCTGCTTGCTCTTTAGTCATGTGTCAGCCCCTCAGGTGCCCAAACACATGACTGCCTTGTAAGCTGATAGATCTCATGAGCTCTTCCAAACATGAGCATTTATGATAATGCTGGGCACTACTCTGCAGTTTGCAGGGTACAGGCCTGAGGAAATAGGGTGGTGATTATCTCCTCCAACTTTACATTGCAGATTTTCTAGCATGGAGTGATCTTGTGAGCAAGTGCCCCCAGGCTCCCTTTACAGTCAGGGGAGAGAAACATGCACTGTCTGGGTGTGGTTCATCTAACCTATTTTAGATGCCAAAACTAGGATGGGTTGAATCATGTCCTTGACTCCACTGACTAGGATGAGAGCACACTGTGACCAGCTCACATGGAGAGATCTACATGGTAGACATCTCTGTTCAGCCAATGGTTTCTGCCCACTATGTTTCATCTGCTTCTATGACTGTTACTGAGACGTGTGGTGATATAACTGGACTGGGATTGAGATGGTTAGCTTGGGCTGCCAGGAGAGGACTGCTGATGAGGGTTCTGGTGCTGGGAATCTGAACCTCCCTCAATTCCCTTTTCCCCCAAATCTGAGAGGTACATCAGTGATTAACTCGTGGTGAACTCCACAATGCTAGCACCTAATCTTGGTCAACTACAACCTTAGAGGCAGCAGCTCTGTACTGTGGGCACCTGACCTTTAGGTAGAGAAGGAAGACATACTATCAAATGCAGTTTTTACCTAATATTTCTACTATTTCAGTTTCTTCTGTTTGCTGTGCTATTGATTAAAGTAGAGACTCCTTAAATGTACTCGTGGGCTACTGTGTGACTGTATCACCTGGAGTCCAGATCCTAGAGAGATTATAAAAACAACTAGTGAGCGCTGTGTGCTAGAGATGATTTAGGAGTGGTGCCATGCTTTAAGGAAGAAACTCTTGTAGAGGGAAGTGCTGTCCAGGAAGGTTTGTTACTGCTAGTTGTAGCCATGGCATTACAGACCACCACTTATCTCATAAACTAAAAAATTCCTTCTTCCTACACTTCTTCAGACTCTGATGTCTGTCATCATCATGTGGGATAGATGAGTGCGTGGACCACAAAACAGGGAATTTACAACCAATTTTGCTGTGCTCTTCAATACATTGACAGAACGAGGGCAGGGTGTGATGTTTACACCAATAACAGGGACATCTTTTCCCTTTTGTTCCAGGGAAACAGCTTTCAGAGTTTTGATCTGAAGCTTGTGTGGGTAGATGAAAACTGCAAAGAGAAATCAGCTCCTGGACCGTAAGTGTAAAATTTCCACTCAGAGGTTATAAAGAAAAAGCAAAAGTTTACCTTGATTGTGAAACAGAGATAATTATTCAAAACTTTGTCCTGTCTCCTTTCTAACCAGTGTGGTTGGTGCTGGATTATGGGCCATTGCAGCATCCCTCAGATGGGATCACAGCAGCTTGCCTTGGAAATCAATCAATGATTATAAAATGGTTTTGGCTGTAGAGAACAAAGATGAGTTGATTAGTTAAGTAACTCTTAGAATCATGGAATGGTTTGGGTTGGAAGAGACCTTAAGGATAGAGACACATCCCACCAGCCCAGGTTACTCCAAGCCCCATCCAACCTGCCCTTGAACACTGCCAGGGATGGTGCAGCCACAGCTTCTGTGACAACCTATTCTGGTGTCTCATTAGTGTTGTAAAGAATTCCTTCTTAATATCTTATCTAAATCTGTCCTCTTTAAGTCTGAAACCATTATCCCTCCTCTTATCACTCTCCTGAGAAGGAGAAACTGACTGTAAAAGGACCATTAGCTTCTGAAGAGAAATGGGGAGAGCAGGACTGCTGTTTGACAAATGTGTTTCTCAAGGTCTCTGTAATGTCTCTGGTTTCACAGGTATGGATTCAGCATTATAACCCCAGAAGAAACGTTCTTTCTCTCTGCCAAAGACCCTCAGATGAAGGTGAGCAGTGGTCAGGGTGTTTCTGTTCCACCTGATACACCAGGTGCTGAGCCTTGGAATAGAGGAATGGCACAGAGAAGGTGGCAGCTCTAGCAAGGACTAAACAATGTGTACTGAGTGGAAGTAAAATCTCATGAAGCGTTGGGATTTTAGCTTCCTGATCAGAAGACAGATGAGTAGATGATGAGGGTGGTGTCCCTGTCCATGCAATAGGGTTGGAACTAGATGAGTTTTAAGGTCCCTTCCAACCCAAATCATTCTGTGATTCCATGAATAGGCTTTGCACCTGTTTAAATTCAGCTGATGCTTTTCTCCTGTGATTTTTGCCATTTTTTAATTAATTAAAGCAGAGTAACAAGTAGTGGGTGTTTGGATTGCTGGCAATACCTTATTAGATGGCCAGAGGTATCTTAGACCAGTGACTGTAGACAAAAAAAATATCTGGATGCTGGAAGTGATCTGTCCTGAGCAGCTGGGTGTGCTGCAGAGCTAGGGATGGTACAGTCCATCACCACAGTCCTGTGCCAAGGCTGATCAGTGGTGGTGAGAGTCAGGCTTAAGTACGTCTTGCAGGACCCAAGCTAACATCTCCTGTTGATGCTGTATCACAGAATTGTCAGAGTTGGAAGGAACCTCTAGAGATCATCCAGTCCAACTCCCCTGCTGAAGAAGGATCCCCTAGAGCACTCAGAACTGCATCCAGGCAGGTCTTGAATGCCTCCAGAGAAGGAGACTCCACACCCTCCCTGGGCAGCCTGTTCCAGGGCTCTGTCACCCTCACCATAAAGAAGTTTTTCTCACATTTAGAAAGAACTTCCCATGTTCCAGCTTGTGTCCATTGTCCCTCATCCTGTCACTGGGAACTACTGAGCAGAATCTGGCTCCACCCTCCTTGCACCCACCCTTGGATGCTTGTAGGCATTAAATAAGGTCTCCCTTCAGCCTTCTCTTCTCCAGGCTAAAGAGTCCCAGCTCTCTCAGCCTTTCCTCATCAGGGAGATGCTCCGATCCCCCAGTCATCTTTGTTGCCCTCCAGTAGCTCCCTATCTCTCTTAAAATCAGGAGCCCAGACCTGGATGCACTTATCCAGATGTGGCCTCACCAGGGCAGAGCAGAGGGGGACAATGACCTCTCTCAACCTACTGGCCACACTCTTCCTCATGCACCCCAGGATTCCATTGGCCTTCTTGGCCACCAGGGCACATTCCTGGCTCATTTACTGTCTACCAGGACTCCCAGATCCTGCTCCTCAGAGCTGCTTTCCAGAAGAACCACCCTAGCCTATATTGGTGCTTGGGGTTCTTTCTTCTCAGATGCAGGACCTTACACTTACCCTTGTTGAGCCTCATTAGGTTCTTCTCTTCCCAGCTCTTCAGCCTGTCCAGGTCCATGGATGGCAGCACAGCCTTCTGGAATGTCACCACCCCTCCCAGTTCAGTGTAACCAGTGAACCTGCTGAGGTCACACCCTGTCCCCTAGTTCTGGTCGTTGATGAGTATGTTGAACAAGACCAGACCTAGTATTGACCCCTGGAGAACGCTACTAGTTACAGGCCTCCAACTCAACCCTGCTCCATTAATCACAGCCCTCTGACCTCTGTCACACAGCCAGCCCTCAGTCCACCTCACTCATCTAACCCACACTCCTTCAGCTTCCTAATGAGGATGTTATGGAAGACAGTGTCTGTAGATGGGACACAACTCACGGGTCCAGCCAGAGGAACGGCACTGATGGGAACCCAACAGCTTCTCACTGCTCCTCGCGCCGGGGAGCTATTTTGCTTTCTTCACTCATTAGTCAAACACTCCTCTTCATCTGCCCCCAGGCTGTTTGGCAGTGGAAGCTGAACCAGGCAGTTCGACAGGCCCTGAATGGGAAGAGGGACTTCCCACTGTGGGGCAGGGCTGGGGAGGGCACCGAGCCCCCCTCCTGCCGCTTCTTCTCCTACTGCTTCAGGCTGGAGGGCAAGTTCAAGAACGCATCCTACGAGGGCGAGTGGCACTGGGGAAAGCCACATGGCAAGTAAGGAGCTATTTTTTTTTTTGTCCTTTCCCTAAGAAAACCGTGCAAGGATGGCCCTGCTGTCCTTGTGTAGCACTGCCTGAGTCCAGGGGATGCACCAGTGCGGGTGGAGATGCCATAGAGTGGCTGTGGACATGGGGTGATGGGCCTGGACCTCACACTGCAGGCTGGTCATCTCCTGGGGTGTGCCAATCTCTGGTTCCTGCCTCACTTGTCTCCAGAGGGAAATTTGGCATTGAGGATAGATTCAGGGGGCAGCTGGGACACATTTGCTTGCTCTCAGGGCTCAGTCAAAGCATGAGTCCTACCACGTGATCTGTTGTGTTGTAGATGTGTCACTAGTGATACTGGTCTGTGCAGTAAATTGTAGAGGCTGCCCCTAAGAATGTGGTAATGATCACATTGAAGGTGCTGCATTGGCTTATGCCTGTAATTAGGACTTAGACTGAGTTAATGTTTATTTTCAAGACCTCAGCCTGAGGCATCAAATCTTACTGTCATTATGACAAAAAAAAAAAACCCACCAACAAAAGCTTTTCCTTGCAAGTGAGGGATAAGTTTTATCCTGTGCTATCAAAGTATACTTTAATATCCAAACTATTACCAAAGGATTTTTTAAAAAGTAAGTACAAAAGAAACTGAACTGCATTTCCTGGGGACATGAGAACTACTCACTAAACCCAACTGAAGAGTGAGCTCTGCCAAGAGGGGATGGTCTGTAAATTACAAGTTAAATGGTCCAAATCAAAATCTTTTGACATAGGATAAAGTCTTTTTTTTTTTTGGTGAAGAAACAGGGAATATGACCCACCTCCTCAGATACCTCAATGGGTTGATTTGGAGAGTTTACAACTCCTGAGTTTTACACAGTTTGTTTACAGTCGAAGCAAAATAAAGAGATCAGTTTGAAAGAGACTTAAATAATGAGAAGATCCAAAATTAAAAGTTTAAACCTGAATCTTCTGTGGAAGGGATTGGGCCTTGCCTCAGAGTGGTGTTAAATCAATATTTGGAGTAGAGCTACACTTAAGGCAGTCCTCTACATCATTCCCACCTTCCCCAGCACCTGCACTCCTGGCAGGGATTGGAAAACCCAGGTGTGCAGCCACAGAGGGACAAGGACCTCACTTTGCTCTTTGTCTCCTCCTGGTTTAGTGTTGGAGAAATGAGATGAATGAATGAATACCTCTGCTGCTTCAGAATAAGTCACTTACTTGAGGCACCCCAGGGCATTTTGGAAGAACAAAGTGACTTCAGCTGCTTTTAATACTTTGGCTTTTAATTGCCTAACTCTGGGTTTTCCTTCCCACTCCTGAAATTACTCTTCTGTGTGACTTGCTACAAATACAGGGTTACAGAGCAGCAAAGCTGGCCTTGATGGTGGGATCACCTCTGAGGGAGAGCCTGGAATGGCAAAGCACTGGAGCAGAAAGCTGCAGCAGTGTGAATCAGGGCTCTTCAGGAAAAACATTTGTGTTCATCACTGTTCTGCCCCAGTGCTCCTCATGATCTGGTGTGGTGGAGGAAGTAGCTTAAACCATCCCAGTGGCTGGAGCAGGGATTCTCTGTGGTTTGCTTTCCTTTGCTAACATCTATACTAACAAAGCAAACGGACACAGATTTTAAATCTACTTTAAATTAATCTGACTCCTTCCCTGTAAATACCAGTAAAAGAACCTGTCTCATGTAGGTGTTTAAAGCAACAACCTCGGTGAAAGTCAAACAAATGTGTCATGGTTTTGGTACTGCACCATCTTCTTTTGTCTGTGGTTGGGGAATGTGTAGGGAGCTGGCTATGTCTGGGATGATGCAAGAAATAAAACAGTGTGTGGGAGGAGAGGGAGATTGGAGGGAGTGAAATGCATTCACAACTGGGCATGGCTGTGCAGTGATTTGACCATCACATTGATGGTTCCAGTCTCATTTTGCATTGTTGACTTGTGTCATAATTTCTACAACCCCCCCACAGAACAGATGGAAAGATATTATCCCTTTAAGCCAGTGCTTGTCTCATTTGTTTTCATAGTGCCTGGTACAATTAAGTTCTGGACTATGTTGTCATTATGTTGTCTGCAGGGATATGTTATGCTGGAACTTCAGTTGGCTTAATCACATGCTGCACTGCCATTCCAAAGGATCATCTGCAAGGTCCTAAATGGATGACCCAGCAAGTCTAGAAAATGGTTTTGAGATTAGGGAACTTGGAAGGAGATTCTTCCCTCTCATTCCAGGACATGAAAACATAATGGCATTAAATCCTTACAATGCAAACCAAAGTCCCAGAGCTGCCTGCAGAACTTCTGCATGTCTGTTCCCTGAGGAAATATTTTGATTTTAACCATTTCAAGGTTGTGCCTTGATACCTCTGTGACAGATGTGAGTGTTGCTGGTGATCTCCCTTGTGTAATTCTTCCTTTGAATTGCAGGGGGACACTGAAGTGGCGTGATGGACGCAACCATGTTGGAGATTTCAAAGAGGGTTTGGAGCATGGGTAGGTCTTAAAAACCAAGGCATTTCTTGCTTTCAAAAGAAGCTAAGAAATGGGACATTGGGACACTAGCACAGGGACATGGGACACTAGCATCTTGTACGTGGGCTTTATTCACTGTTACAGTCCAATTCATCTGGTCTATTTTAAACACCTGGCTTAAGCTTGAGTAGATTGTAACCTAGAGCATTAGAGGGTGTGGGCAGATGAGGGGTTCAGATGCAAACATCTCCTCAGCTGGGTTAATCTGACCCCAGATATCAAAGTCTAGGTGAATTTATTAAGATGAAATGCCTTAGAAAAGTTATTTTTAGATATCTTCCTACCTCCTATGAAAACAGCCTGAGAGAGTTGGGGTGTTCAACCTGGAGAAGAGAAGGCTCCAGGGATACCTGAGAGCAGCTTCCAGTGCCTGAAGGGGTTCCAGGAAAGCTGGGGAGGGACTTGGATAAGGCATGGAGTGATGGGACAAGGGTTAACTGTTTCAAGCTGAAAGAGGGGGGATTTAGCTTAGATATTAGGAGGAAATTCTTCGGTGTGAGGGTGGGGAGCCCCTGGCCCAGGTTACCCAGGGAAGCTGTGGCTGCCCCATCCCTGGCAGTGTTGAAGGGCAGGTTGGATGGGGCTTGGAGCAGCCTGGGCTGCTGGGAGGTGTCCCTGTCCATGACAGGGGTTTGGAACTAGGTGGTCTTTAAGATCCTTTCCAACACAAGCCATTCCCTGATCTGTAAAGAAACCCTCTTGAATTAGGAGTTTTCAGAGGGAAAAAAACAAATTCAAGCATTGTTTTTCTAAAATTTTTGAAAACAAAGACTTTCAGATTTTTCATCTCTACATGAGTTCCAGAATAGGTTAGATTTTTAAAGGGAAAAGCTGTCTCAAATACTTTGTGTTGAGCTTAAGAAAACATGTTTTTTGGATTGCTGTGGTTGCCTAATTCAGCCCCTGTGCTGGGGAAGGGGTAGAGAGGGGAAAAAGTAAAACCACTGGGAGTTGTTCTGTAGAAGGTATAATGAGAAACTGACTGCAGCTTGAAGGAGATGAGCTCTTGCTTGGATCAAGTCCATTGCAATCTGCAAGTGCTGTCAGAGGTAGAACTGACCCCAACCATTTAAATCAGCTTGGGAGTCTGGTCCTTAGTTTTTAAACTTCATCCAGTACAACTGAGTTGCCTTTTGCTGTGCCAGGTCCTGCTCCTGGGCCAGGGCAACCAGAAGTATGAATGCAGGCTGGGCAAGACATGCTGGAGAGCAGCCCTGTGGGAAAGGACCTGGGGGTCCTACTGGATCAAAAGCTGGACATGACTCACCAATGTGCAGTTGCAGCCCAAAAGGCCAACTCCATCCTGGGCTGGATCAAAAGAAGTGTGGCCAGCAGGTTTAGAGAGGTGATCCTGCCTCTCTACTCTGCCCTGGTGAAACCTCACCAGGAATACTGCATCCAGCTCTGGTGCTCCCACACAAGAAGGATGTGGACCTGTTGGAGCTTGTCCACAGGAAGGCAATGAAAATGATCAGAGGGCTGGAACACCTCTCTTATGAAGACAGGCTGAGGGAGTTGGGGTTGTTCAGCCTGAAGGAAAGCAGAGTCTGGGGGAACCAGGCTGGGGAAGACCTATTCACAAGTGCATGTAACAATAGGACAAGGGGTAATGGGGTCTAAGCTAGAAAAGGGTAGATTAGGTTGGACATGTGTAAAAAGTTTGTTAATATGAGGGTGGTGGATGATTGGAAGAGGTTGCCCAGAGAGGTGATGAGTGTCCCCATCCCTGGAGACATTCAAGGTCAGGTTTGATGGGGCTCTGAGCAATCTGTTTTAGTGCGAAGTGTCCCTGCTTATTGTAGAGGGATTGACTAGATGAGCCTTATAGGTCCCTTTCAACCCAAGGCATTCTATGATTCTGTGATTCTACATTGCCACCTGCCATGTGCACCCTGCAGGTTTGGGATTTGCCTTGTCCCACGGCGCTCGGAAGATCGGTACGACTGCTACAAGTGCCACTGGTACCAGGGCAAGATGAGAGGCTATGGAATCTGTGAGTAAGTAAAACTCCAAGATGGACTCTGGGGTGGGGTAGAAAAGGAACTATTTATTGTTCTCACATCACTGGGAAAGTGTGACAGTGCAAAACCCGGGGAATTCAGGCACCAGAAGCTTTAGCTTTGAAGTTGAGCAGTGTGGCTTCTTCATGAGTTCTGAGTCTCCTGAGCCACAGAATAGTAAGAAGCTCTCTGCAAGCTGTGGCTATTGTAAGTACCTTGAATAGCATCTTCTGTGCCCTGTAGGTGATGAGATCATTTGGTATCCATGCTTGTGGTTGCACTTCTGCTTAGGCTATCCATGGCTTGCAGCCAAATCACAGAATCATGACATTGTCAGAATTGGAAGGGACTTCTAGAGGTCATCCAATCCAACTTCCCTGCTACAGCAGAATCCCATGGAGCACATCCCACAGGGCTGCATCCAGTCCCTCCAGAGAAGGGACTCCACAACAACCTTGAGCAGCCTGCTCCAGGGCTCTGTCACTCTCACTGTAAATAAGTTTTTCCTCAAATGGGTTGGCCAATGTGAAGACTTGTTACAGCATGTCCTCATCCCTGCTTTCACAGTGCCTCTGAGACAAGCTTTCCAGCTGCTTACATGGGATAGGCCACCTTCCTTCCCACCACCTGCTTCTTGTGCTCCTTCTTCGTGAATCAAACTCAGAGTACAGGGCATGCATAAATCTCTAGGGAACTTGAAGCCACCTGAGAAGTGCCACACTCATGTCTCTGGTGTCAACTGTGAGAGCATGTTGATAATTAGAGGTGATAGTTCTGCTTAGTGTGAGTGCTGTGTTGAGGCAGTGAAGATCTTCTGGCCAGCATGGATGGAGTGAAAGGGAACTCTTCTCAGAGGGATGAGCTCAAGAGAAGCAGTGGTTGGTGAGCATAGAAAGGGGAAGGCAGATCTGGCTTCCCACATGATCTTACCTACTCCCACTCCTTAGCCAGCAGTCACTGTGGCCTGGCTGGTGAGAGGTCAAGGACTGAGCAATCTTTCCCAGGATAATTGCAAACCTGAGTGTTGTGTCCTTAGATAACACTGAAAGCTAACTTGGGTGACTACCTCAGGTGATGCAGCTTCCTGAGAGTGAAGAACTACAGATTCTAGATCTATCAGTCAAACCTTTGGAATATTTAACAGGCAGATAAGCTTAATCTACTCACTTCCTTGTTTTCCTACTCCATGAGCAGCTAACAAACAGAGTCTTAAATTTTGCCTGTCTCTTTCCC